ATTGATCATTTTGTATGTTTTCGGACATTGATTCGCCCGAGTATGCCCGGAGTACTTGTATTTGATTATAGACATTGTCTCGTCCGGGAATGCCCGGTGTATTTGTACATGGTACATTTTTTTATCTATATATTTACATTTACCGATCAAAAAAAAGAATGCCATATTACTAGGTACCGAAATAAATTTCTACTTGCTTCATACTCTAAAAGTGAATTGAAAAATATGCCCTTCTAAATTCTCCAGCATAGGACACACACGTCTAATTAACAGAAAAATTTAAGCAACAGAAAGGACCATTTTTGCAGTAAAAGGTCAAATTATGGACCAAAATTGAAACGATAGATTCTGAATTTGTAAATACTCGAGATGTGGAGCTAGTTGTGCTCCTTAGTTTTGGAGCACATGGTATTGAATTATTTTGTATTTAAATTCATACAAGTACTGAATATATAAACAACAGAATGAAAAATATGATTAAAATTGCACCGCTTTTTCTAAAGCATAATGGATTTCTCGTCATGCATTGGTCTCTTTGCCACCAGCCACAAATCACTCCACCACCCAAAGATTTCCTGCCACATTGCGAAATTCCTATCCAATTACAATTTTAGAATTGTATATCTCATGTAAATTCTCTAATCATCCAATTATATTGTACAAAAATTAGGTGTCAGTAGTTTAACTAGATTCTAATTCCTTTCAAAACAAGGTTATATAGTTTTTTTGGATTTTTTTCAATTTTATTGCAGGTTAGAGTATATGTTGTACCAGTTGCTCGGAGTTTGGAAATGAAGTAAGTTCGTCGTCCTCAAATGCAGCTAATATTCCTTCAATTCCCACCCAACCAGCCGCTCCAAATGTTAGTTTTTGTTGTTCCTTTGAATTGTTTAGTTTTCAAAATTGTGAGAAATTATTTGCATCCGTAATTTAGAAGTATGCTATTTTAATTTCACGTTAGTCGAATTGGAAAGGGAACAATTTGCATTATTAGTGGATAGGAAGTGTCCTAAAAAATTGCACAAAAAAATTTAGTTTGATGTAATATTAACATTTGCAGTTGATATTAATGTGCAATTTGAATTATGCGTGTTAGCCAAATTGGAATTGAGACAATTGGCATTTAATTAGCGGAACTTCCTATCATCAAATTTTGCAAAATTGGTTAGTTTGATGTTTTTAACGGCTGCAGTATAGATCAATTTTCAATTTGAATTTACGTGAAAAGGAAATTGGAATTTCGAACAATCTGCATAGTAAAATAGGAAAAAGTTTATGGGTTGGTTGAAATGATATAAAGGTGGCGCAAACTAAATTACAATCTAAAAGATTATTATATAATTTTTTTTTCTTTTTATTTGACAGCTATGAACCGGTTTAATCAACAAAATCTCTCAACTTGTAACCATGCCGTAACACCGACATGGATAACCACGCAACTATGTTGATTAATTTATATCCATACAATTTACAAGCAGTTATGCTTTTTAACTTTTTAGCTGAACATTAGCATGTTTGTACGAATACTTATGCTTTTGAATTTTGTTTACAATCTATTTTGGTTGGGTAATATAATGGAATAAGATACGTTCAACAACCCATCATGTAATTTTAAATCAGCATTGCAGTAGATTACACATAGTTCCACAATATGAATGTAAATATATTTTATATCACGTCTTGTTTCGTGCTATCTATTTTAAACCATTAATAACATCTCATGCCATGTTAATCACAACCTACACACTACACGTAGATGAATATATAGTTAAAATGTACCACCATGACAACACATTACACATAGATCCCAAACCGGGGATGTGCGTTAGCTAAAAATACATACAAATGACATGAGATATATAATTCTCACAGATATGTTATCTAATGTAATGTGAATCACAATCGGAACACTTCACACGCATGCAACCTTGATATATCCATTACGGATAAGAAGACACTTTACAATTTTTTAGACAATGAGTTAATGGTTCAATGACTTCGTCACTTAATGTCATTATATTTTAACTTTGTATTTCACCGTTGTTTACTAGATCATTATCTTTTATTTAAATGGTATCAGTGCATGGTAATTAGTTCATAAGATAGTCAATTTACATATCCACTACTCGACTTATGTTTTATCAATCAAGATTTATGAAGTTTTTTTGTTCCTAATTTTTAATTTCATATCTTGATATCTAATTACAACATTTCTTACATTCCACAGACAGTACTGTGATTAAGTACATCGATGAGGCATAGCATGCTAAACATCGTACACATACATTTTTTTTTTTTTTTTAAATTTTTAAGGTTACAATTTCTCCTCATAGAGAATAACATTTGTAATTTAATGAATTTCAACTAATATAAACTGTGCATGTTATTGTCCAAATGAAATTCTCTCTTACTTTGAACATTATGATGCAAATCAAACACATAATTTATATCACGTACATGTTGACGAACGTAGTGATGGATCATTGTCAATTTCATTATAACACAGTATGTAAAATTACCTTAATTTTGATAAAAAAAAAATCGTTAGAGAAGAAATTCCAATTTGAAAAAGTATTAGATCCGTAGTAGGAATGGATGAAATATGATGAATGAAACTTGAAGATGATGACCAATCCTGAACAAAATTATATCACAAGTGATACGGCAACTGTTTTTTATTCATTTTTTGAAATAAATATGATGGGAGACACATTTAATACAGGATTAATGTATGCTCTTATTTAAATTTCAATTACAAAAGGGATGGAGGAGTAATTTTAGGAACTAGTATTTATATATGTATTTTATGTAGTATATTAGGTATATATATCATATCATTAATATTTTTGGATATTTTATTTTTTTATAGGGTATATACGATTTTTTCGGTAAGGTCTATAAACCTAGAAGACGTATTGGTGCTACAAATCGTTTCCCATTCTTAGCAATTCTTGCTAAATTTCTTTTGGTCATTTGGGCTTGGAATTGGGCTACGAAACGATATGCCAGCCCAAATATTAATGCTTCTTACAGTAAAAACCAAAATATAAATGGTCCTTTGATTATGGTCATGAATATTTCAGATTTTGACAAGAATCAATGGCTGATATTTCAGGTTATTTACTGGCAATACTGCGAATAATCAACTCAAAACTTTTAAAATTAAAATTTGTTGTTATTGTTGCATATTATAATTATTTAGTTTATATCGAAAAATATCCAATATAACTCGTAGAATTATAAGTACTTCAGAAACGACGTATGCAAATTATGACAACCCTAAACTTGAAATGTCTCGAATTTTTTGCACGTGATAAGTCATGTCCGTCTGTGTAAACAATGTATAGGTCCACCATGTTACTTTACATAAAATAAAATTTTGAATCATAATTAACGTTTTTTACTCCCTTCTTCGTACGTAAAAAAAAAAATAGAGGAAAAAAAATAAAACAAAATAGAGCAATTATAATTTATAAAGCAAGAAAATGATGTTAGGGAAGCCCACAAGATTACTTCCAAACAGTCCTCATTTAATTAGTCAAAATTTAATTTTTGATTTCCGTGAAAAATGTGTATAAAATAAGAAATTTTAATTTTATATCATCAAGAACAATAAAATCGCTATAAAAAATGAAAAGAAAGAAAAGACAGGCTAGATTTATATAATTCACTTTAGAGTAAGACTACTTCTTCGTCTGTTGTTTGCTTTAATTTTCATTATGGTGGAATGATATTTACAAGTGAAAAATGAAAAATCGCACATCTTATTTTCTCCAATCCCTCCCACTTTTGATGATGATATAGTAAATCCTAATGACGGTTCCCTATTTACAAGAAAAAGTTAAGGTAATTCTGAAATTACAAGTATCAAATTTCTAAACTATCTTTAACTAAATTTTCGTTCGAGGGCAGATGAGCTTCTCGTCCCATTCCAACCGCCACAGCAACCTTTTCGCGAAGGTCAATCAGCATATAAACTAAATCTACATAGTGATAATAATTAGCTCCACAACTTAACAAAAATGTTATGACCTTTTGTCACACTGATCAATTGAAGAAAACTACGTGATTGTTTGACAATAGCATGCATCATTATGTCCTTAAGTTACAGGAAAATTCAGCACTGCTATGGACCTCTCTAGCCGAATTCTCATCCATCCTACTCTTGAACTTTTAGGCTAATGAAAACCAAATTGATGAGAAGCAGGCTTCTCGAGCTCAATCATTTATTAGTGACAAAGCCACTCTATCATGATGAGCTAACGCGGACGAGTAAGATATGATAACTAGAGACCTTTTAGTTGCATAATAATGGTCTTCCAGTTTGTTGGGCAGTGAGAACTTTATTAAATGCATCACATGGAGTATACATCTTATCTTCCAAAAGGGTTACATTTTTAGGTAAACATTATCGAACCTTTCCACACAAACAAGGGCTGGTTCGCAGATTTCATACAGGGGGATACTTGGCAGTTTCTGGTTGAAAGATGGCAAAAAAAAAAAAAAAAGACCTCCACAGATGCTGCCACAGCGGCAGCTGTAAAAAATCTGTGGAAAAAAACCTCCAAACGCTTAGCATTTTTCAACATTATTACTGTATTCTGTATCTTTTGCTGATCCTACATATGTTCTGTAACTTACTTAAATTCTTCAGCAATTTATTAGTCAACTGGATTCGAGTCTCAACTTCAACTGCATTTTGTTAATGTGTGGTCTACACAATTCCATGTCTAGGCAGAAATTTTTCACATCTTTTCTGTCTTTGTTCACACTTCACAGGGTCCATCTCTTCATAAATTCTTCATGTGCAGTTTCTTAGAATGTGGAGGAAAAGGTTCGAAATCACACCCAATGGCTAAAGGCAGCTTGACCAGTCCCTATCTAGACAGCTACATTTGTCATCAAATACATTGCCAATATCCTTATCTTCAATAAATGGAAATGGAAGTGGAAGTATAAAGTATAATCAGACTGAAAACGCCAGATTGAATTTATATGAAAGCCAGCAAAAGATGCAAGTACCGGCCTAAATGGTAAAAACATTAAATTTTACTCCTAAGAAGATAATCATAAATGGTCGAATTTAAGCTAGTTCACATATTCTTACAGTTCATTTAATTTGTTTGTTTCTATTTTGTTGCAAACCTTTTGTTTTAATTCTTATGATTATAATAAATGTGATCTGATCTGCTCTTAAAACGTCCGCCGTGTGTGATCTAAGGTGCCATTAATGGCTATCATTATAGCAATTATGCCATTAGTATCAATTCAGTAGGCCAGTGGCAACTACGCAGAAAAAGATGGATACTGGTGGAAAGATAATGTTAGACTGTGCGGAGCCTAATTATACAAGTTAATCCTCTCAAGGATTTTTTGAGGACAAAATACTTGTAAAGAAAATAGGCAAGTGATGTTGAGGGTGATTGGGTGAACCACCATACTATGTGGGTGCTTTGCTCGTTTTCTGATTAGTTTTCTCATTATTATTGATTTCAAAAGTCGGGTTTAGGACCAAATCCATAGCAAAAAAGACATGCATTATATTCTTGACTAAGAAGAATAGTCCAATGATAGCTTTTAATTATGGTACCTAATTAAGTGAGTAGTTGGTTTGCCAACCATAATTACTCCTTTATTGTCGGGAAGAAGACCTTCCATCCTCCTCAAGCTCCCATGACAAATTAATTCGTTAGTTCTGAGTTTCCATATTTGAGCTCTCTGTCACTTAACCTTCAACTTGATCGACAATTTTAGCTCATGGACAAGGTTGAATCCTCATCAAAGCAAATTTCAGAGCATGATGAGGTTACAGACGCAAAACGGCCATCGAATTCAACTTCAAACAAGAAGGATACTGTTTCTCTCTTGGGGCTGTTTGCTGTAGCTGATAATATAGACTATTTTTTAATGTTTGTTGGAAGCATTGGAGCTTGTATACAAGGCGCCGTGCTTCCGGTGTTCTTTGTATTGTTTGGTCGTATGATTGATTCTTTAGGAAAATCGTCTTCAGATCCCCATAGATCGTCTTCGGAGGTGTCCCAGGTATTTTCCTTTCACTTAGTTATGAGAAACATGCTGTCTTTCTTATCCACCTTATCAGTTCTGCATGTTTTTATCAGGAAGTTTCAAATTTACGTTGCAACTATAGAAAAATGATCGGAATGTTCTTTTTAGTTTCTAATTTCTCCCTGCAATAGGTGCTGCATGACAAGATTTTGAACTTGTTAATTTTTTCTTTTAAAGCTGTAGAATTGAGTCAAATGTTTCATTGAATGCATGCGACGTTCATCATCTCGACATTGATTCTTGTTACCTTGATTCTACTGTCCCCCTTTCTAATGTGCTAAGGTACTCGTATCGCTTCTATGCAGTATGCTCTCTACTTACTTTATCTTGGATTAATTGTTTGGCTATCAGCATGGACAGGTATGTTTTATGCATTTCAGCTAAATTTTGCAGTCTATGAATATCCTCTTTATTGAAAGCTGATATGCTTTCTTCAATAGTAAGGGATGACATCTTTGTCTGTATTGAGAATTCCAGGAGTAGTATGTTGGATGCAAACTGGTGAAAGGCAAACAGCTCGATTGCGATTAAAGTATCTCCAGTCAGTTTTGAGGAAGAAGATTGACTTCTTTGACATTGAAGCCGGGGACAAAAATATAATTTATCACATTTCGAGTGATGCCATGCTCGTCCAGGATGCAATAGGTGACAAGGTAGATGAGAAAATTGTTGGATTTCGTGGAGCCTAAGTATATTGTACATTTTTCCGTGCAATAGGTCGACGGGATTGCTGCGGGGATCCAACTGCTTGGGGATTTGGGGGGTGGTACTCCCTAAGGGAAATTTTTAGGTATATTTTGAGTTGAAGAGTATGTCAGGCCTTCTACACATGCATTAGGTCGTTCTAATATTTCTAAATATATATAAAAAAATTATTTAAGGGGTTGTGGGTGTTGCTTTCACATTAGGAGAGAAGCACTATAAATCTGTGTGTTTCTGATTTCATTTTGCTTAGAATTTCAAACGAAGGGCCTAATCCTTGACAGAAATAGATTAAGATATTACCTAATTAGTTAATTGCACTGGATACAGTTTTTGACCACAGTGTCTGATAGGCACTTAATTCTCTATTATGTTGCAGATATCCCACAGCTTATGTTATCTTTCCCAGTTCTTAGTTGGATTTGCCGTAGGGTTCACATTGGTGTGGCAGCTTACACTTCTCACCTTGGCGATTGTTCCTTTAATAGCCATCGCAGGAGGAACTTATACAATAATCATGTCTACCTTGTCTAAAAAGAGTGAAGCTGCCTATGCTGAAGCTGGGAAGGTAGCAGAAGAGGTAAATTGCAGACATCTCTTTTCCTCTGACGATTTATACTCTAATACTTCATCGAGAACTTCGTGAACTGAAAGATTCAATTTTATTATCATGTTTCCAGAAAGGAAGATTAGATAGCTACTAAGAAACAAAAAGAAGCTAAAACTTTGTTCTTTATAAATGCACTAACTCTTCCGTTGGCTTTGATCAGGTTATTTCACATGTTCGCACTGTGTACTCATTTGTTGGAGAGGAAAATGCTGTTGAAGCATACTCCAAGTCACTTGGCAATGCTCTCAAACTGGCTAAGAAAACTGGGGTTGCGAAAGGGGTTGGCATAGGCTTTACTTATGGGCTTCTCTTCTGTGCTTGGGCATTACTCCTTTGGTATGCTAGTACTCTTGTCATGCATGGGGACACCAGCGGTGGAAAAGCATTTGTTACAATTATTAATGTCATCTACAGTGGATTGTAAGTGAAATACGAATATGAAAATTAGTTTGTCTTGCAAAATTCAAACTCTACCATAAGCATAAACAAAACTCCGTGTCTTGTAGTGCACTTGGTCAGGCAGCTCCCAACCTTGCTGCCATTGCTAAAGGTCGTGCTGCTGCTGCAAGTATCCTAAGCATGGTGAAAGAAGATTTTAACACTTCTAAAGATTTGGAGGAGGGGATTGTGTTACCAAGAGTCGAGGGAAATATCGAATTTTGCAAGGTCTGTTTTGCTTACCCTTCTCGACCCACTACGGTCTTTGAAGATCTGAGCTTCTCAGTATGTGCTGGTAAAACGATCGCAGTTGTTGGCCCTAGTGGTTCGGGAAAAAGCACTATTATCTCCATGATTCAACGATTTTACGATCCCACTTCAGGTATTTAAGACTGTCTCATAAAAATAAATATATTTTTCTCGGATCAGTTATGAGTTCCTTAGCAATCTTTCTTAAATGGGATTTTGATAGGAAATATTCTATTGGATGGGCATGATCTCAAGAAGCTACAATTAAAGTGGTTGAGATCACAGATTGGATTGGTTAGTCAAGAGCCAGCATTGTTTGCCCGAAGTATAGCCGAGAATATCATGTTTGGTAAAGAAGATGCAAATACGGATGAAATAATTGATGCCGCTAAAGCTGCCAATGCACATTCTTTTGTTCAGCATTTACCTGATGGATACCACACTCAGGTTGGTATTTTTTGGAGCCATATTTTCCCTGGAATAAGATATGATCACTGTTGTTACAATGTGTCTCACTGAAAACACTTTAATATATTTACAAAAATAAGAAAACTTTTACATATTTTCTGTTGGCTCTTCAAGAGCTCTAATATTTGAGGTAAATCTGACAACTCTGGAAACCTGTTACCAAGTTCCCTGTATGACACTTCTTTGGATATAGGTCGGAGAAGGGGGAACTCAGCTATCCGGAGGTCAAAAGCAGAGAATTGCTATTGCAAGAGCAATATTAAGGGACCCGAAGATACTACTTCTGGATGAAGCAACCAGTGCTCTTGATGCAGAATCAGAACTCATTGTTCAGCAGGCACTAAATTCAGTCATGTCAAACAGGACAACAATTATTGTTGCGCACAGATTATCTACTATCCGGGATGTTGATACAATAGTTGTTCTTAAAAATGGTGGTGTCGTCGAAAGGGGGAAACACTCAGAACTGATGATTAAAGGTGGGGAATATGCATCTCTAGTTAGCCTTCAAGTGTCAGAACACACCACAAACCCTAATTTGGACAATAATAATACTGCATGTAGACTTTCTAGTACTCAGAAACGCTTGGAAACTGAAAAACATCAGGAGTTCAAGGCAATCAATGGAGAATTGCAGCTGGGAAGTCAAAATCTTGCGTTACCAAGCACTGTTTCAACGACATCAGTATGGGACATAATCAAACTAAATGCACAGGAGTGGCCCTGTGCGGTTTTGGGGTCATTAGGAGCAATTCTGGCTGGAATGGAAGCTCCTCTTTTTGCCCTTGCAATCACACACATTTTAACTGTATTTTATTCTCGTGACGAATCTCAGATAAAAAGGGAGGTCCGACAAGTTTCATTCATATTTGTTGGAGTGGCTTTGGTGACTATCTTCGTATATCTATTGCAGCACTATTTCTATACCTTAATGGGAGAGCGTCTCATTGCACGAGTCCGCTTGTCAATGTTCTCAGGTTTCCCTTTCTTTCTATTCAATTGCCATACAAATTTTCATATTTTCTTTCCCATGTTTTCTTTGATTTACACTTTGCGATTAAATTGCCTCCTGTTCTGATTACAGCTATCATTTCCCAAGAGATTGGCTGGTTTGACAAGGATGAGAATAACACTGGATCACTGGCATCAAAGTTAGCAACTGATGCCACATTAGTACGAAGTGCAATTGCTGATCGTCTATCAACTGTTGTACAAAATATAGCACTTGCAGCTACTGCATTTGTGATTGCATTTGCACTAAGTTGGCGCATTGCGTCAGTTGTGCTTGCTACCTTTCCTCTACTAATTGGAGCTTTCATAGCCGAGGCAAGTTCTCCTAGATGACATGGAGCACGGCTTATTAATTTCTTCCAATTTTCTCTACTGTAATTGCAGTGATTATTCTGTTTCTGTTTCTGTCTGCAGCAACTATTTCTTAGAGGATTTGGAGGTGATTATGCAAGGGCCTACTATCGAGCAACTGCAGTGGCACGTGAAGCTATTATTAATATACGCACTGTTGCTGCCTTTGGCGCTGAAGAGCAGATGTCAGTCCAATTTGCATCTGAATTAGACCAACCAAAAAAGAACTCTCTCTTACGAGGTCACATATCAGGTTTTGGTTTTGGCGTATCACAGTTCTTCGCATATTCTTCATATGCTCTTGGTCTTTGGTATGCATCTGTTCTTATTAAGGAGAAAAAGTCGAACTTTGGAGACGTAATGAAGTCGTTCATGGTTTTAGTAATTACTGCGTTGGCAGTGGCAGAAACGCTTGCACTAGCACCTAACTTTGTAAAGGGATCACAAGCTCTTGCCTCAGTTTTTGATATTCTTCAAAGGAAAACAGCTATAGACCCTGATAGTCCCTCATCAACAGTTGTCACTGATCTCAAGGGACATATTGAATTCAGGAATGTGAGTTTCAGGTACCCTAGAAGGCCTGACATTACCATTTTCAATGAGTTGAATTTGGAAGTATCAGCAGGGAAGAGTATGGCAATTGTAGGCCAAAGTGGTTCAGGAAAGAGTACTGTGATTTCTCTGTTGTTGAGATTTTACGATCCGACATCAGGTGCAATTTTGATAGATGGATTCGATATCAAGAGCTTGAATCTAAAAGCGCTGCGAATGAGAATCAGTCTAGTGCAGCAGGAACCAGTATTGTTCTCTACAACGATTTACGATAATATCAAATATGGGAATAGTGGTGCATCAGAAATTGAGATAATGAAGGCAGCCAAAGCAGCAAATGCGCACGGGTTCATCAGTCGAATGCCAGAAGGTTATCAAACTCGGGTTGGTGAAAATGGGGTGCAGTTATCCGGTGGACAAAAGCAGAGGGTGGCAATTGCGCGGGCAATACTTAAAGATCCATCTATTCTTCTTTTGGATGAAGCAACAAGTGCTTTGGACACTGAATCCGAAAAGCAAGTTCAAGAAGCTCTGAATAAGCTTATGTATGGAAGAACGACAATTTTGATAGCACATAGGTTGTCTACAGTACAAGGTGCCGATACTATAACTGTCCTTAAGCAAGGAGAGGTAGTCGAAAGTGGCAGCCACGATCAGCTCATTAGTAATCCTGGAAGCATCTATTTTCAGTTGGTCAGTCTACAATATGAAAAGGGTGCAAAGACCTCAGAATAATTAGGAAAGCTAGGAGAAATCCACTTTAAAACACGACTCTTTCTATTTCTATGCTTAAACAGCTACCCAAAAAAGATATGAAAATAATGGTCAAGATCTGATTCAATTTTCAACTATATCAACTATTAAAATTTGAAGCCTTAGAAGATTCAAGAAACATTGATGCTCATCTAGAAAAGGTTTTGTATAGATTAACCCGCAGCTCTGAACACTTTCTTGCATGAACTTGTTCTTATTCCAGTTTTACAATATCAGAAGAAAATGTAAATATTAATTATAATTACAAACATAAAGATATGATTATGTTTTGTTTCTGCTCACTAACTTGGTTTTGTGTAGACTAAGACAAATTAAATTATTTCATTTCTCTTTCCTTTATGCCTGTTTTATTTGTAAACATCTACTCATTACATAATTCTATACCATATTTGAACTCTCTATCAGCCGCCTCATCGGAACAATTTATGATTCATTATTAAGTAGTAACTAATAATGAATGGTGTCCAACGTACTTATAAACTCTGAAGGGCCTTCCACGAGAAATGTAGAATTCATAAGTAATCCAATCGACTTTAGAATTAGAATTGACATCCAAGGCAGTCTAATTTTCCACTTATGCAATTCCATCATACCAATGTTTTACTGATAATAGTCCTCTTCAGAGATGGCTAAACCAATAGATGGACTTAGTTGGAAAGGTAGGTGTTCTGAGCTTCTCCCATTATGAACTTGCTTTAGCTTTTAATAAAGACCGAAGCGAGTCTATAGTAGTAACTTATTAGTTTCAGGACCTCGTGTCCGTACAGAATCACCTTTTGATCTCTTAAATAACGTCCTGAAAAAGGTGCACGAGGAATGTACTTATACGAGGAATGTACTTATAAATTTAAAACAAACTTTCCACGAGCAATACAAGAGTAGAAAATAATCATTACAATTTTTCTAATTTTGTTTATACTTTTCTTAGAAAAGCTTCCTGAATACACTATCTTAAGCCAACTACCTCTAAAAGCTCATTTAGCCAAATAAAATACTTTCAAAAAAAGTATTTTAACATATTTAAAATCAGCTTTTGAATCTTAGAAACACTTCTCTGCCAAATGCCAAATGCCAAATGCCAAATGGGTCTTTAGACTCCAATTTCAATGTTTTTTTTTTTTTCTTCTTTCTCCATCTATATTGATTTGTGATGGGGTCTTTAGGCTCCGAGACGTTCAAATGAACCACTGAGTGGTCTACCATCATATCTTAGACAAATTATATGTTAAAAATAAACTCAAGATTATGCTGTCCCAACAAGTACCTAGCAATAGAATCTCAACAAAATCACAAAGGTACAAAATGAAAAAGTTGAAAAGGAATTAATTAAGAGGAAAAATAAGTAGCTGAGAATTTGTTTACCTAATGCACATGGGCTCTTGCTTCATGAATAAAGAAATTAGCTCAGAATCTCTTTCCGTCATTACGCATTATTATCGTTTATTTCATATTTACTATACTGAACTTGACAAAATTAGATCTTATGTTTATGACCTCAACTTCTTGTACTCGACTCTTCTCGAACACAATAATTACTTCATAAATTCCCTTTGCAATGCTTGGAAATGGAACCTAGAATTGACGTTGATATCTAAACTTCTTTGAGACGTTGTTTTGACTAGGTTTACAATATATAATTTGTGACATGATTTTGAATGACTTATTTCAACTAAAATTATTTTTAAAGTTACTTCTTATAAACACAGCCAAACATGCTCTAAATCTGCAAAATGAATATTGTGCACATAATTAGGACTTTATCATATCTTAAGTTATCAATAATTGTATTTATTTATTAATCTCAGGTCTTCTTGAATAGTGAAGGCACGTTGCAGCATACGTTTCATACAGATGAGCTGCTAACGGTACAGTTGAAAGAAGGGAAAAAAATAGTATTTCTTAAAGATGTCGAAATTCCCAAGTAAAACAATGAATAAAGTCACCAGTCACTTAGAAAAGGAAATGAAGAGACAGATTGATGTGTCAAAAAATGATTGAATATTTTTCTTTTAAATTTTCAAATTGTTAATCATGCATTGAAATGTGTTTCATCTAGATTTGAGTCCGATGAGTTGCATGTTTAGTAAAACAATAGGGCGATAAGATACTCTGTGAACGGGGCAACCAATTAGTAGGACCCAACAGTAGACAGCCAGCCCACCTCCCAACCCAAGATTTAATCATGAATCAGAGATAATAGTAAAGAAGCTGGCATCGTTTTTCTAGGAGTCAAGCAACCAACCCTGCATATCATTTGTCCCCACTCTCCGGTCACGGCCACAGGTGATTGATCTCTGATTTTCTTTATATTTTTCTTGTAATTTAGCTGCTGTTTTCTTGAATCTTGACTCAATTTGGCTTTGAAATTGTAGAGTGGTTTATACCGACTGGATATTGGGAGTCTACTTACTTGATTTATGTCGCATTCCATTCGGACAAGAATTTTCAGAAGATGACAGAGAATTAAGCAGTAGCTGTCTTTAGATTGTAAGAAATGAGTGCTACGAGGTTCATAAAGTGTGTGACCGTGGGTGATGGAGCTGTTGGCAAAACCTGCATGTTGATTTCTTACACCAGCAACACTTTTCCGACGGTCAGTTGCCCCCCACCCCTTCACAACCCAGCCCGGCAAAATACATAAAAGAATATATTTTATTTCTCACATTTGATTTCAAGGGCTTCTTTTCAAGAATTCTCTCTTTATTTTTTATTTTTTATTTTTTTTTTGGGGAAATTCTTTTGACTTTTGATGGTTTTTTGCAAATATTTCCCCTTTTTCTTTTTTCTTTACTTGTCTGTTTCTTCTTTTTTTGTGGGGTGGGGAGCTGATAAAGTAATAATTGAAGGGTTCTTTTTCTTTTTCTCTCTCTTTTCCCTTGACTAAAGTCTCTTTCAGTTATTTGAGGAATTTCAAATTTAATTTGAATATGATTGACTAATTAAATAAGGGTGGAGCAATTCGTGTCTGATCGCGAGAATCTTATGATTATCTAACTGTTGTGAAGCTTCTTTCTTTAGGATAATGGTTATCTTGTTTAGGTAATTCATGTTTACCAAGTTTGTTTCTCTGGTTAGTTTATTGGCAGTACTAAGGAAGAACAAAAATATATAGTTCTTTATATTTGTGTTGTCCAATACCATGCCATCCTTAAGATGTTGGGAAATAAAACGGATCGAGGTAATATATATTACACGATATGAAGGATATAATCACAAACAAATAATAAAATAAAAGGCAAAGAATTAATTGGCAGATGAATGGAATATTTTATTCAATTAACCAATATGGAGAAAACAAATACAATAACTGTGTCTACACAATTATTCTATATTTTAGTGATGAAAAACTTATCAAAATATAGTATTTATAGGGTTGCATGTCAGACCCTAGAAATACCATAAAGATGGAAACGATATCAAAAATTATGTGTAATAAAGGAAACAATGATTTTCTAATAAAATCACATGGAATAAAGGAAATAATATTTTCAATAAAAACGAATGGAATGGAGGAAATAATATTTTCCCAAAAAAATCAACATAATTTGAGTAAAAGAACCAAAAATCTCCACATTGACACAAATTCCGATGCAACGAACGAAATTTCAAAATTTCTCCGCTTGAAGAAATAAATTTGATTGCAACTAAAAATCCAAACTCTTCAACAAGAACCAAACTTTCTCCAATACAAAAATACTCTTCATTTTCCATGGTATCCAACACGGATATATGAACCTAAACATCGAATTTCTCAAAATTCACAAAAAGAATTAAAAATTATCAAATAGTGTCGAAACACACCTTATAACAGAATCAACATCTAATGCTTTCATAGGTCACTAGCTACTCTCAACACCTTCAAAAATACTAAATCATGTGCAACCGAATCAACATCCATGTCTCTATCTCCAATGGCCTATCCTTAGAAGTTGAATACAATGGAACCACATGTAATGATCGTAAAGAGGAATTACATCCTCCAAACTTAACTGAGTGGTATTCTTCAATATGGATCCTGAACCAAATCTTAAAGGTACAGTACCAAACTGAATCTTCATCGCGGTACTAAATCTGTGTTGACTTTTCCTTGCAAATTTTGTCCGACCTTGCAAGATGTATAATTGGGACCCCTCTTGCCTCCCTATACACCCTTTCATTAGTACCATGACAACGATACCTTGCGTAACCGTTTCATATGTTTGAAACAAATCCCAATTAGAACACATATAGCATGCACAAGCTGTATTCAAAATCTACTTCTCATCGGGTTTGGATTTCATTTTAGAAAGCGTCCAAACATCTCCATCACTCAAATAGTTCTCGGCTATGTTGGTCTCGTCTGAAGTATTTGATTGCTTCCCATGATTTGCAGTCAAATTACATTTGTTCTACAATTTGTCACAATTCTTCCGTCATTTCTTCTTGCAATAATAACAAACTTGGTTACTAAAATTTGACATCGACTTACCCCTTTTCTGATCACCATGAACAATAAAGCATTTCCCATCTCTAGTCTCAGAACAACCAGATGCTTCATTTTCTTTTTTGAAAACTAGGCATCATACACATCTTTAATAACGAGAGTATCATGATTGTACAAGATCATCTATCTAAATGAAATAAACGAAGCGGGCAGCAAACACAAAAAAATTAAGGCAAAATCTTTTTCATCATACTTTTTCTCTAAAGTCTCCAAATCAACGACGATTTCCTTGAACACGGCCAAATGATTTTCCAAAGATCTGCCTTCTGCCATGCGATGAGAATACAATCTCAGCTTCAGATGCAATTTGTTTGTCAGATTTTTAATCATGTAGGATTGCTCTAACTTTAACCACAACGCAGCTATCGTTTTCTCATTCAAAACGTCCTGAAGAATATTGTTAGAGATGAAGATCCATCTGTGAAAGTGTCTTCCGATCTTTTTGTTATTTCTCCTCAAATCTCAAACAACGCATCATTTCAATCTATCTGCGCGAGTACAGCTCACATTTTCACTTGTCACAACGAGAATCTTGTATTGGTGATCCAAGAGCGAAATTTCATACTTCATGGCTATCATCAATAACAAAAACATCGAACAAATCAACATTAATAGCTTTGATACCACTTGTTGGAAAATAAAACGGATCGAGGTAATATATATAATACGATATAAAGTAAATGACTGCAAACAAACAACAAGATAAAAGGCAAAGAATTAATTGGCGGATGAAAGAAGTATTTTATTAGATTGACTAATATAGAGAAAACAAATACAATAACTGTGCCTACACAATTATTCTATATTTTAGTAATAAAAACTTGTCAAAATAGTCTAATATTTAAAGGGGTACGTGCCAAATTCTAGAAATACCACAATGATGGAAACAAGATAAAAAATCACGTGGAATAAAGGAAACAATATTTTTCCAATAAAATCACGTGAAATAAATGAAATAATATATTTTTTTTCCAATAAAATCGCGTGGAATAAAGGAAATAATATTTTCCCAAAAAATCCATTAGATTTTGCTTTCTTGAAAGTCATTGTTTTTTTCACGAACACGCCTTTAAGTTGTACCTCGTATTGCTGCTTTGTGAATTTTAATGAGATGTTCTGGTCTTTCCTGTTAACTGAGGCATATAATACTACCAAACAGACTCAGCTAAAGAGAATGACAGACCAAGCAAGCTATGATTACATTCTCGAATCTTTACCAATTTTTGCCTGTTTCAAAACAGGATTATGTGCCGACTGTTTTTGACAACTTCAGTGCAAACGTGGTTGTGGATGGTAGCACCGTTAACCTCGGTTTATGGGACACTGCAGGTTATTCTTTCAATACATGTTATTCTTTTTTCTGGAAGTGGGAAACTCCCTGTGTGCATCCAGACTTGACTTTTTATTTTGGTTTACATCATAAACAATGTAACAGGTCAAGAGGATTACAATAGATTAAGACCCTTAAGCTATCGAGGAGCAGATGTTTTCCTTCTTGCATTTTCTCTCATTAGCAAGGCCAGCTATGAAAATATTGCAAAGAAGGTTAGAATCGCTCTGATAGCTCTATGGTCCTATATATAATGGTTTGATTTCACATTCAGCGATTGTGTGTAATAATCTGACAACA